TGATTATAGAGAAATGCAGTGTACTTCAATATAACTTTGTTATCTGCTGTTCTATATTCAAAATCAGACTTGCATATTGTAAATAATATTATTATGAATTCTGAAAATCATTTCAGTTAAAAATTCAATGCTATATGTACAGTTCTAATGATGCTGTTTGTAAGAGTTCACTGAGTAGGGTTGAGTACAATACTAATTTCAGAACATTGTGATAATGTTTTAATTTATCCTTTCATGGGAAACCTAACTATATATGATTTAAGGATATTTTTTGTATTTCCCTGTATTTTAATTCATACTTTGTTGATATTTAAGGTTCTATAGAGTAACTACGGACTATGATTAGACTTATGTCTATTTTATTTTCTAATGAGTAACCTGTAAAATGCGTATGAAGTACATCACCAATTTATATTACTAATATGTTCATCTGTTAGCCAGTGCATTGACAAGTATAAACATAGATTATTTCAGATAATATATTTGGTACGTACGGTGGTATGCTGCATATATGAGAGTGTAAATGTTACTTTTAATTCAATAAAAAAAACATACATATTTATATGAGCTTCTTTTGATAGAAAATTTTATATCTAACATGTCATGAGATATTTTCAAAAATTCAAGACGTACAATATTAAGAAACATGGGAGCTACCTTTCAAAGTATTCTATGTATTATGATTTATATTTAGTTTTCATGTAGCAGAAATTACTCTTAAGTGTTTATTAAGAAAACAACGTAACGCTTTGTGTTAGTAAGATTGCTGTAATTTTTCTCTTATATGCTTTTATGCATGTACTACAAATATCAACTCTAAGAGTTGAACACACATCATTTTTAAGTAGACAAAATATTGTTGAATAGCTCAAAAGACTTGAAACTGTTGACCTTATCTGTCATTAAAAATGTGATATCCAGAAAGACTTTTACTGCCTTATTAAGAATAAGTAAACCATTTATTATGGAATAACACAAACTTTTTAATGGCAAATCAAATGAAATACAATGCATGTCATTAATTGTTCACATTCTCAATATGCAATATACATAAACGTTTTAAAGGACTTTTAAAACAAGACTAAATAGAAATTGTCATATAGTGTCCTGTCGATTTTATAATCACCCCGAAAACTTTTTGCTGGTGTTATTCTATAATAAAATCGGTTATTCCGTAAATTTAATTGTTACTGTTATAATGTTTGATTTATTTAAACTAATTTTGTACACAATGTAGTAAATGCAGATGGAACTAGAACACAGAAAACACATATTTTTCTGAACAGAATAAGAATGCAACAAGAAAAAAAACTAAAAACAGTGTTCCCATATTTTTATTTTAATATTAATCATGTCTGTTACTTCGTTTTGTTGCCACAACATACAGTATTTATATAATGCAATCACATTTAACCATCTGTAATTTACTGCGTAAATTATTATTCTGTATGACTGTACTGTTTGTATGATGTGTATTTGTACTTACAATTTTTTTACAAAGTAACACAAATAGGTATAGATCGTGTAGACATAACGGAACAAGAACCTCAAGTATTAATATGAAACAATTTCAATAATATTTAGTTCGCATATTATTTAAAACGCATAAAATCTCTTATTTCAGAAGAATAAAGAATAAAATATTTTTGTCCTAATTGGGTAGTCTTATTTTGTATCACCCTGGTAATTCAATGTTTAAAAATACGCCCAATTGTAAATGTACAAATCAAACGACCTAATATTAAAGCTCATCATTTATAAATAAAATCAACGAGAGGATTAAAAAATCATTTATAGAAACTCTTCGAAAATCATACGTCCATTTTATAGACTTCCCATAGTTTAACATTTTTTAATTGTTTTAAAGGTCAAAGTGGGCTTACTAATAGGATTATTTATAATCCAACATTTTTTAATCCACATCTGCTTCGTCTTTCAGTTTAATATTTTTGTATTTATTGCGTGTTGAAATATCGAATGAAGCATGATGATCTAACGCGTTGCATTCTTTTTCTTTTTTTGCGATTCGATATCCAACGCAATCAGTTGCGTGTCACACGCATCGTGCAGAACGCTCGTGCACTTAAACGAATTCAAACGTAAAAGGACGATTGCATATTTCAGATTTTAAGTTGCCGTCTAACGAGGAAAATTTTCGTAGCTTTTTGCTAAGTAGCTGTTTAATCCCTGCGACATATATGCTATACACATTCGACCAAAGTTCGAAGTTCACCGATGCATTTTATTCATATATTTTTTTTAGCTGCCTTCGTACAAACTTTTTGACTCCTTTGGATTGTTTAAAATCTTTGTTTTGCTGAAAAAATAATTGTACCCTAAATTTTTCATGGAAAATAATATTCTGCAACAGTTGAACCGATTATCGTACAGGTGATTCTACGGCAACCCGATCACTTGTTGCATCCAGTGACTGATTTATTCATGTCGAAATATGTTTGGCCCATCTGTGAAGTTTAAATCATCATTTTAGGGATAACGGTAAAAGTATTGTTCGAACATAGGAATATTGAACATTTTTTAATTGCCTTTCTAAAGCAGCAGGAAGGACAATAATTTATTACGGTATTGAATATCAATAGACACAAACTTAAAATACGTTAACGTCTTAAGCCCGTCTAATAGATTTATCCCTACTTTTACGTACTTAGCTTGTGCAACCCCTGCGGCCGTTAATCGACAGCCGATAAAAGAAAAGAAGTGGACGCTATCGAGAATGAAATAAATGAAATGTTGACTGTGTAAATACACATTCATTGTATTTCTATGCAAATGTTATTAATTATTGATAAAAAAAATATATTTCAATACTTCAGTCTCTATGAATTAATCGGAAGATTAATTACCTTTCGAGAATTCTTTTTGGTAGTTACAATTTTGTTCCATTAATTTGATTCTCATAGATATTAGTAAATATGCCTTTGAATATTCAAAATTTTATGTATAGCCTTTGCGTAAAAATGTTTTGAGATTTCTGAAGGAAACTAATGTAATGAATGAGGTAACAAGTTAAGGGATTTACCTTTGAATATTTGATTATTATTATTATCATATTTTCAGGCGAGTAGCCGAGTTATTTAATTATGTCTAAATTTACATATTGAACGCTCTTTTGGAGTATAATGAAGCAAGTGGAAATCAAATAGGGCGCAGTCGCAACTAGGGCGGCTTAAAAGGTGGTAGTACGAAGTGTACTGGTAATCAATGGCGAAACATGGTACACGTTAAATCACGGGAAATTAGTTAAGGATTGCAATGTGTTCGTGATAAGTTTACAATGAAATTCGTAATACGATGTAGTGTTTTAATTTTATTGTACGATTGAACCGTTCAACAAACTTTTTGTTGACACGCAAAGACAATGACGTCTGTACTGTGTTTATTTTAAAGAAAGTGGTAATTGCGTTAACAGTGGAATACAAATATTATGTTGACAATTATTCTATCCGATTCCCGTTTATTCGGAGACTGTAAAACATTTTAACTTGCAGAACCGATGGATTGGTAATAAGATAAAACAATAAATACAACGACAATAAATTTGCTATGACAGTGCATGTGATGCAGAACTTAGTAAATAGTTAACAATGAATACACCGAGTTCAAAGCATGTCGTAACTTTCGACGAACGATGTAAGGAAGGTAAGTCAAGGTACATAATTCTAAGAGAACATTCTTATTTAATTAATTTCTTGATTCGTGTATTTCATAAAATATACCCTTGTAATTCTTATGTTGATTATCATGGAAATTATTGTCGTAGTAAGTATGTACTGTCCAATGTGCTTAACATAGAAGTAAAATATGAAGAAATGTTACATGTTCCTGTTTCAGGTGTATTTATAATCCTTTTTGTCATTGCAACTGTAGCTTGGTAAAAATGTCTTACAATCATAATCTCAGAAGGGTATACTTGTAGAATGGCCACTCTGAGAACAGGATTAAGTAGCGAGAAATGAGAGATGTGCGCTTTATTGTGTCATGTGTTAATGGTCTCTTGTCCTTCGATATTTAATACCTTTCAATAGGCTGGTATCTGTGTAAAAATGCAGATAGTGGTATTATATTTTGCATCACTTGTCTAGAATTAATCATCATACAGATTCATAAATAGGATTTGAAGTTCTAAGAAAAAAGGATAGTAAATGCTGGAGAATCGCTAGAAACAATGCAGAAAGTACTCCCATTCTCAGAGCAGCCTAACTCTAATGAGATGAATGCTATTTGTATGTGAAGATAAAATCAGTCGCAAGATTCAATGATATATTTATTTGAATACATTTGGTGTAAGCATTTATCTTATTAAGTATGTTTCCAGGATCATGCATGTAGAGCTTGTTTTATATCATTTAATGTCTTTAATAACCCTTTCAAGAGAATCATCTAACAAAAGGGCACAATGCAGACAAACGTATTAGAATTGTTCTATATTTTTTTATTGCGGATTCAAAATCATTTAACTTATCTAGTTGAAATTTCCAAAATTATTCTTATGAGAAGTTTGAATGCTATAAATATGTTTCATTGACAATAATTTATGTGCATTTAACTTTAGATAATTATAAATGCTAATTGAAACACTTAAGTGCTTGCATGAGTTTGTGTATATTTGAATGAAATTGTTTTGTGTAATTCAGTACAACTTGAATAAAGTATAATAATATGGCTCTTACATTTGTTTGAACACTATTATATTGAGACAATCTTCTTGTTGTAGTTATGGAACACTTTATTTATTCTTTACAATGATACTTATGTGTTACATAATTTTTTGCACAATTTAAAATAAAGATAAGTTATACTTTTGTTCGAGTATATTGAAAAAGAAATGTTGCAAAATCTTTTAAAGAACAAACTTAAGCATGGGTAGCAGAGGAGTCGGGGACATTCCAACAATATTTCATCCTCAACAAACTCATACTTCAAATATCATTCTTGGTGACAATCAACAGAACCATGGTCCTCAAAGCAGTATTGGTCAAGTTACTCATGATAATACTGGTAAGCATGTGACGATAAGTACTTACATCCTACATTGAATTATAATAACAATATACAATCAACATTAATATAAGTGAATATTCTTTTAAAGTAATTGTTTATGTTCTAAATTGCCTCAATCTTTGTCAATTGTATTAGCCAGTTTAATATGCGAAACAATGGCTACAAATTTCATGCCAATTAAAATCTCAGGGGTAGGTCACTACCATGGATAAGGTATTTATCATTCCTTCCATCATCCCATTCTTTAGGATTAAATTCCACTACACAGTGCATATTAAAGAGGATCAGACCGCAAGGGACTGAGCAAACACAGTATTTTCTTATATACTCTATATATATATTTTTACCTACAATGGTATTAATATTGAAGGATAAAAGTTCGCGAACGTAGAAAATGGAAAGGCGTACGTTTCTCGTCTCGTCAATCAAATCCGTTTTCAGAATGGGTTGAGTATAAAGGGTAATTTTCCGAATTTTGTTGATATTTCAACGATGTTACTTCCTTAATTTGTTACAAATGTAATATACTGTATAATATGCTGTACAATATCGCTTCCCTTATACTTTTACCTACTTCATTTTCAACCAATGTATAATTTAATAGTATACGGTTTAATAGTATAATATGATGTTCTAATACATCTACGGAATTATAGATTTTTTATAGTAGAGTAATGAACATAGCAAGATAATATAGTAGGGTTCAGATAAACAGTTTTTCCATTTTATTTATTATTTTAAGTTTGCATCCACAATCCACCAGTGCCTGCGTAATATATTTGTAAAATAGATTATACTTATTTACGTGCGCCTTTTCAATATGGATTATTTGACTTAACTAAACCCATGGATTATTTGTAATTTGCATATGATTTACGATTCAGAAAAAACACCTCCCACAAAGTGATTATATGGAATACTAAGAGTTTTTTGACGTGTTTTCGATAGTGACTTTCTTTATATACATTTTAATCAATTAATTTCGTTATTTAGGGTGTGAGCAGCAACAAGGATGTAGCGTTACCGTTAGCTGCGGTGACTCAACGCCAAGTTGCCGCCCTTTGGATACAAGCGGAAGTGGAGGAATTGCTGAAGGAACTGGTGCTAGTCAAGGGCATAATGCGAGTCAAATCCAAGTTCAGCAGCACATTTCAACTCCTTCTGTTACTTATCAACAAAGGCCCAATTCTCTCTCAGCTTGTTATGCATCCTGCTGTGCAGAATCAGCAAAGAAGGTTCATCAATTTTAGTAACGAAAATCTCTTTAAATCAGTATTGTTATTCATTGTTTTACGCGTAAGCTCATTGTGATTACAGATATATTTTGGAGTATGTGTAACCATATGTGTCACAGCAAGTTGGGTTGGTGCAACGCATTGTATTAAATATTTATATTTTTACAAACTTGAAAGTCCGAGTTATTTATCATCTTCGAACTCATCGGTAACGGGAACGCATCAGCAACATGTAAGTTCATGTACTCTCTTTTTTTTACCTGTCAACATCCATCAAACTCAATCTATGAAATGTTTTTATACAAAGTAATAAGTTTTCATAAAATTGTATATTCTGCACGCATGTTTTGTAACATTTTTTAGACGGTTCCATATAATGCGCCCTTCTTCACAACGTGGTTCTGTACAAATTGGGAGATTCTTTACTACCCTATTTATTTCATTTGTCAAGCTGCGAGAATAAAATGTAACACTCCGTCAGAAATAATCGCAGAAAATTTGCGTGGATTCCGAGATAAAGGTTTCACCGGTGGTCGTTTTTTGATCAGATGTAGCCTCTTCTGTGGACTTTGGGTGGTCACGAATTATATGTATATTTATTCGCTCAGGATATTGTTAGCTACTGATGTGATGGCCCTGTTTGCGACAAACGTATCCTGCGTTTATTTATTATCATGGGTTATCCTTCATGAGCAATTTGTTGGTGTAAGGGTTAGTATTATCTTCCGTGGAAATTTGTTTTACAGTGAGTCGTTGTTTTCCTTTGTAATATTTTTAAATACATATGTTGCAGATAGTAGCAGTAATTTTATGCAACACTGGGATTGCACTTTTAGCGTACATGGATGGAATAACTGGCAGTCCGACATTAGGGGGTGTTGTTCTAGCAACATCTGCAGCAGCTGGTTCTGCTGTTTATAAGGTAACTATTAATATTAACAATATACCTAAATGGTATAAAGTAAATTTAACAACACTTTCACAATAATTGCTGAAAAAGTCAAAAGTGGGGACATTGATTGATGTAAAAGTGTTAAACAATGTTATATTAGGTGCTGTTTAAGAAAGTTATAGGAGAAACAACATTCGGACAAATGTCTCTATTCTTTTCACTTATCGGATTGTGTAATGCCGCACTACTATGGCCGGTCTGTTTAGCCCTGTACTTTACGGGAGCCGAGAGTGTACATTGGGAACGATTACCATGGACAGCATTACTTTTAGCGAGCATTCTTCATTTAGGTTAGCTGATGTTATTTAATATTAGTGATATTCAGGATACTTAAATAATACTGATACTTTTATTATTGTTTAATAGTTGCAAACATGCTTGGTAACTTCAGTATTGCTCTAACGTATGACTTATTCATTACCCTGGGATTGATCACAGCTGTACCTGTATCAGCTGGTATGTAAATTAACGAAATTATTGAATTATTGTGTAATTAATGTTGTTTAATAATTTATTGATGTTACTATATTACAGCGCTAGACGTTGTTTTATACGGAGCCCACTTTGTGGGCATGAAATTGGCAGGGATGATTTTTATAGCGGTTGGCTTCTTCCTTGTAATGTTCCCGGATAATTGGCCTGACTACATAACCAGATTACTTCGGTATGTGCTTTGAATGTATTTTGTATATATATAATTTATGGTATGTTTTATAACTTCAAATTAATTTCTTCCTTAGTCTTTAGTTTCGTAGTAAGTTTGCTAATGTTTTATCTCTGACTCCATATATACACGCGACATATAATCGCATCATATGCACGCGGGCGCATATATACACATACCTAAATCTGCATTTAAAACAGGCTACAAAAATACCTCTTTTATATTTAGATTTCGAAAATTTATATTAAACAGACGCCGCTCGATTTCAGAGAGAATATCATTTGTTCATTTTAGTATTCGTTTGATTATTTTTAGCAATTGTTTTCTAACACTTTTGTAAAATTTAAAAATAAATGTTTCAAGGTACATTATTAGCTAAGATTTATCATTTTCAAAACGATCGATTTTCTTCATTTTATTACTTTTACCGTAAAACACATTTGAAGTGTTGCCTATGGTATATAAAAATCATTTTTTATATTTTCTGAATATAAAACTTATTATTAAATTACCTGCTTTAAATGTATGTATGTACATATATTTACATAAAGGGTGGGTATCCGGAATGGGACATTTGCATTGCATTTAAAATTCTGAAATTATATCAGACTTCAATATGAAAAAATTTTTCAACTTTCAGCTCAGAATAGAAAGATGAAACATGGTAATTTCGTGATAACATTTTTTTTTAAGTTAATATTGTCTGTATATACTGTTATTCGTTTATTTCCCATGTTTCATCTTTCAAATAGTGTAACTTTATTTAATGTTCTTTCTTCGTAAGTTAAAAGTAAGCACTCAAACGCATACTTTTAGTCGCTGCACAATATATATTTACACAAATTTATACATTTATATTTTCTTCTTTCTACTTTTGCAAGACTATCGATCTACTGTTTCTCTCGTTTTGCACTGAATTAGAACTACTGTGTAGCTCACTGACGTAGTATATGCTTGATACACAAAATTGTTCATAAATGTACATATAAATCCTAATACCTGTACATATATATCATTTACTAATTTCTTTGGAATTTCTTCAAATTGGGTAAAAATTGAAAGATGTTCTACGTAAACAAAATTATTTAAACATACTTTCATTATACATGAAATTCTTAACAGTTAACACTTGCAGTGCTCTATAAGATTATAATTATATTATCTATAACTGACACTTAAAAAAGGCTTAATAATATTTTATAATATTTATAATACTCTAGATTAAATGCTATTATATTGCCTTCTCCCTTTTCATATGTTGTCTTATAATACATATACATCGACAACGTGTGTAGGTCAATAAAAAAGATTAAAGAGTCAGAATACTATGTGGGGTTGCTTTTTGCTTAATAAAAGTATAAAAAGATTATGTGACTTGTGGTTGTCACTTTTCTGATATTCTACTAACTAAGTAACTAATGTGAAACATAATTTTAATTTGAAAATAATTTTTTGTACTAAATTATAGAGAAAACATTTCCAAGCAATATATGATGTTTTAGCTAGTCAATTTTTTGTTATTCTGTACAATAATACAAAACCATTTTTAACAGTAAATCACTATCTTACACCTCATGCGAGTTGGGATGATTCATAGCAACTTTTTGAACTGTATATGCGACTTTTTTTATTAGTTCTACGATTCGGTTTTAATAATTAAACTGTTTATTGTGAAAAGGTGGCAACCCAACTTGTCACAGTTTATTTAAACATTTTATGTTTTTTGTTGCATAGAAGGTGTTCGAAGCAGACAGTAGAAATTTTGTTTCGCATTTAGTGATACTCCGTGTGTGTTCTCTAAGTTGCTAAAATAAAAAACCAGCATTCATATTATTTTACAGGATGCCTGGAATATGCAAGAAGTTTAAAGTATAGTTAAATGAGTACTAGTTCTAATTAATAAAAATACTGAGAATATATCAAAGTTCTACTATGTAGGTCTTTATCAGCATAAGCTGATTAAATTACATGTTACTAGGATTATAAAATAAATTAAAATGGAAAACAGTTTTGGATAATTTTTTCATGATTTTTTCTGCAATAAAAATTCACATCATATCTAAACATAATTCAAGAATTCGGATTAATATTCAATGATCTTACGTTAAATAATGGTATATTCACTGTTGCAATTGAAGTATTTATTCATCATCAACAGTTCTATATCTCAACGTCTATGTAAAACATTTTTCAATCAAGCATTAGTAAAACTATTAATTAAGCAAATTATTGTACACCATTTGAATTATTTTCTTTATACAAGCTAAGTTACACGTTCGATTTATCATTACTGTTATTATTAATAAGTGAAACAAAATTTTTCGAAAAACACAAAGGAAAATTTCAATTATATTATCAAGAGGGGATATCAGAAAGTAATGCCTGTCGATGTAAGAGTAATTAATACTTAAGAAGGCAATGGAGCAAAATACATATACTTCTGCTCATAAGTGGTTCAATATATTTATGAGCAGGTGTACAAATTTCTATAATACAAAGTTACTCTTTAACATAGTCACCATCGTGTTCAGTGCATTCACTCAATCGATGAATCCACACCTAAAGAATCATTTAAAATAAACTGTTGAGAGTATCTCCGAGTGCAAAGTTAATTAACATTCTCAAAACTATCGAATCTTATTTCATAGTATGCTCTTCTTTATTGTCCCGATGATATTGAAGTTTAATGGCGCTAAATGCGGACTGTATAAATAGTAATTTCTAATCTCGAGCTATGAGAATAACGTAGAATTTACAGGAAAGTAATCACAGTTACATTTGTCGAAAATTGAATCGAGATAACCGAATCAAACTATTCGAATAAGTGAAAGAATTACAAAATTGCTTGAGCTGCTTATTGTGTTGTGTGTGGATCGACGTCAACACTCCATCACTCGCTTCCCAACAATCAGGATGCATTATATGCTGTTACAGAAACATAGTCCTCATGAGTCACAGTTCGAGGTAAGAGAATACATCGCCATCATCTTGTTGGTCGCGTAAAAAATTCATCCCCTATTTCGCTACTCTGATTTCAACAACGACATCAAGGCTTCTTGATGGTTCCATTTGTATCTCCTGCGAAACCAGATGAATTTTTCACGAATGACAAACAAGAAACTGTCAAAAGTTGCATGGTTTTCTACTTTGCTGTGTCAGTTTTGTGTCTGCGCGAGCACACAACAAAACCAAACGCATAAGCTTGTTCGTACCAACTAACAAGCATGACTTTCTCTTGCTTTCGCATAGACTTGATTTTTGTTTAAATTTACAACTAGGTTTGGTGTGCCGTGAATCCGATGAAACCAAGTTTTTCATCGTTCACACTTTCATTTGAAATTAGGGCGTTAACATTTGCGTTCAGGTATCGAAGCACAACGTGACACTCCAAACAGATTTCTTGTCAATATCAATTTTAAAAAGAAAAGCTTACACAGACTATTCCAAGCTAATATAACATGGCGTCGTTTCCATACACGGTGTCCAGATAATCGTGGTACAACCTGGCAAGATATTTATTATACATACGCAATTTCACGTTATATTTTAGGAGTTGTCTTCATCCTAAACAACTGAAAAACAGTCAACCAACACTAACGTCATCCATACACCAGCAGAGTTTCAAACAATTCCCATACAAATACACTTGCAAGGACTACTGGCAACTTCTCATCCCAAGGACTACACTCAACCACTAAAGCCTCCTAAGAACAAAAATCTCATTTCACCTGTTCATTTCATTTCAAGAAGCCTTCCAGGTTGCACCACGATTATCCGGTCGCACCTTTCAATTTGGAAAGAAGAGTCTATAGAGTCAGAAAGAGATCAGCTGCAAGATGTAAGAGAGACGCGTGCCAAGTTTTTCATTCTTAACGGGAACGACGAGCACGAAAAAAAAAAGAAAATGTGTAGAATAAGTATTTAGTAATCTGTAAAACAAATAACACCTCACGACGCCGCCGAAAAGAAGCCGCACACTGGTCCTTGTGGGGAATAATGGGAATACTTATGAAAGCCTGGGATTGATATACGCAGTACCACGGGCACCCAGCAGCACAGGAGCACTGTTGCTAGAAGCCGGTACTCGTCAATGCAGCAACGTCAATGTCGGTTGCGAAGCTACGGCGTTTCGTCGGCGCATGGCGACGGGCAAATGCTGCTACCGATTAACAACATAAACAGCAATCAGGGTAACAGCAACCAAGCGGCCGGTGAACCGACGGCGGCGACGGCCACCCCGAACCTAACACACCGGCACAGTAACTCGTCCCAACAGAACAACACGGCTTACGAACCCCAACCTCGACGTGTCCCTACTTCCATTTCGTATACGACCTCGACCTCAACCCCGCTATCGACCCCGATCTCAACCTCAATCGCGACCTCAACCTCAACCACGACGAAAAATCATCAACGTTCCCATCTTCCTGGCCTTCAGAGGCAATAACAAGGTATGAGCGTACTAACGACACCAAGGAAAGACTAAGGATTTAGGGTTGAATTATTTGTTTACACAGTTGTTTTGGATGATTTATTTATTTTTTTTAGAAATTATGTCAGAGGAGAAATGTTCCATGTTGAAGGATGTTTGCGAATAAGTTTGTTTATGGTGTTATAGAGGGAAGGAATAATATGGTTATATTTTGCGGTGGGATGGAGAAGTCTCTCCCTTAGTCTTTCTAGGTTTAAGGACGCGAAACAAGGATCCGAGTTTGCTTACGAATCAACTGATAAGAAGCCCCGATTTAACTTCCTAAAGCTCCTCTCGTTCAAACCTGTTGTTAATGATCGAGGGAAGTTTTGTCTTATCAGTTTAACGTCGAAGTAAATACTAAATTCGGTTGAAGTTTGTGCAGTGAGTAATTTGGCAGTGTGTAATTCACGAGTCTCTTTCGATGCCCTCGAGAAGGTCAGCTTTTATTAAGAACGATATTTCCTGTTTTCTTCTTCTTCTTCTTTTGTTTTCAATACAGGTGTACGAATAATCATTCTTTTAGCTTGAATTTTTCGTGACGACGAAGGTAATACTGAGTTTAGATTGAACCTCTGTGTTTGTGTTACTGTAACCACTTTATTATTGATCACTGATCGAGCAATAACAGGACGAATAAGTGTATAATGTTGATTTACCGTAGAGTATGTTGAATTACTATGGAATTGTTTAAACGATGTGATTATTATTAACGGAGTATTTATCTTCTGGATTCCTATAATGGTAGATAAAGAACTGTGCTTGTAAAAGCAAAGATAACTCTCGTACCGAAGGAAGAGAAAATATTCTAGAATTAAAGTTGTGAATTTAAATGAATTGCTTTTACAAGATGAACTGAAGTAGTACATAACTAGATGAGACCTTGTAAAATTGTACAGAATTCTAGTACGTATACCACCCTTATGTTTTAGAATTGCAGATACTGAATTGCTGGTTTAGTGCTACCTTGCGTTTCCGGTTCTAACATAACAGAATATCTTTTTATATGCATTTGTCTCGCTAGTACCTACAGTATGCCTGCGTTAAGGAATGACTTTAGAAATTGTTTACCTAATGTAACTTGACCGTCTGTTTACTTGTAGTTTTAATACATATATAAGTCCGTTAGCGTCCTCCTGTTACGTCGTTTCGGGTATCGAGCAATTATCTGTCTTTTATACATTACGTATTTTATGGAATGAAGCACTGTGACCGATGTCATGCTGCTCTGTGTCTCGTAAAATCATTCGTGTTACCAGCTAAGTTCATGATTTCAGAAATACCTCCAGAAATTTGCGGACTATTCCAGAGAAAACGAAGGAATTCTGGAAGCAAATAACATTAAAGGTGAAAGGAATTCGAGCTACTATTTTCTCATCTTCTTTAGTTACCTTTAGTTTTGCAAACTTTCACCAGAACAAAGTGCACGAAGTAAGTATGTTTTCAATTAAGGAATAATCCGCAAATTTCTAAGGAGAAAACTGTTTCACGTGAGATACCGTTCCCTCTGAATATTTTTCGATCTTGCCGGTTAACACTGAAAGAAAAACAAACGTGAGGCAATGTAATTATTTGCATGCAGTCGAAACTCTTAAATTAAGGAAACCTTCGAGGAGCATAATTGACCTGACGTCTAATTACAGATGGAGCAGAAGACACGGGCATGGTGTGTCGGGTGGTACCCAACGCGACGTGATCGATTATCGCACCGGTTACATAAAATCCCATCTACGGTCGCCCTCGGGGAGAGTTAGGTGACTAAGTGACCGATGGATTACGGAGACAGTTGCGATGCAACGGAGAAAATGCCAAACGAATTATCAGAGGGACAGTAAGAACACCGAAGAGGCATGTCAACGTGAATTCAAGATCATCAGAGGTTCGATCGCGTCACCCCATATGTTCGTTCGTTACTATGTCTTCTAGAGTCATACGGGGCATATTTCAATAATTCAATTTTCACCGACAATGTGTATTCACTATCGTGGAAAAAAATGATCTCTTTACTTCCAGTGCTAACGATCGGTATTTTAGATATCCTCCAGTCGTGTATCAACGATCCCTGCGTTTATCTATTGTTACTGATTTTTTAAATGTCACCTACAATTTCGATCCAGGTATTTATCCGAGGTACGCCACGAGAATGGCGGTTTACTGTACAATAAAAAAAAGTCCTATGGCTGTCTAAAGTCGAAGTAATTCGAGGAGGTTCGCGTGCAGGTAGCGATTAAACCTTTTACTCCTGTTCACGTTAAACATATCTTTAGATCAGGTTCGGGTGACTCGTGGTTGAACGGACTTAACGATTAGCGTGTTCGGGTAGCTCTGACCGTGGCCAGTACAGGCAAGTTGCTCAGGCCTGCTTTTAGACTCTTCATTGTTGTAAAAATTTTAATCTTTAATATCATCCCCGTTTTAACTTCAGCATTTAAATAAAATATCAAACACTTGAACAACACGTATACTTTTCAATTAATTAATAGCGTAACAAGTTATTCGGGATTAACAACGGAGTAACTACGGAGTATGCACACACCGCTCGAACATATTTCATCGGTTGTTTAATTATATAACGAACTTAGAATTTTTTACAAAACGGATGCTCAAGTTTTTATATATTTCAAGTTTATACGCAACCGAGATGAAAAGAAATGGTAAAACTGCAATCGTTAACGAATGAACCGTTATTGTATTTTGTATTCTTTCCTTCGTTTCGAACATGAAGCTTTGATCATGGTGAATGATTAAATATTTTTGAGCAGCAGTGTGTATTCCGACGAATACTGTAAACAATCATGTACCGTAGGATCTCGAAAATGACTCGAGCGGACTTGAAATTTATAATCGAACACGACTGATTATGAAAAAGGGTTTAAGAGGATTAATATTCTGTAAACTATGAGAACTTTTCGAGACGCTATTGCATACATGTACCACGAATTAAATAGATAATCTCTTGAACGGTAGCGAAGCTGTATTTCTGTGAGTACTTAAACGATAGGATGAGAGAAAATAGAGATACTTACCGTGTTCTCGTATAGTGCATATATAACTGCACTGAACGCAATTATTATCGGTAGTAAAATTAAAGTACGAGTAATTTTTTGAATGCGTAACATCCAAATGCGTCTTTACTAATCTGTATACTTGGTAGAAGAAATTTTGGTACGGAACTCCGCTGACTATAAATTAGTTAGTAATTAAATACTCGACTAATTAATACTTGTACAGTTTCAGATCTCAGGTATGGGTGTCAATGCTTGGTACTGCCTATCAGTCTTTATACGCTGTTAGATTCGAATATTAGAGCATCGGTCGGATTTACAATCAGATTGAATATCAAGTTCACAATTTACTTATACCTCGGATTGAAGGATATCATTGATATCATCTATCTTCTCACGATGTCACTGGTATTTCTGCCACCAAGTATACTTTAATAATCTCGCCAGTCAATTACGTACTAAAACCGATTTTTGTTCGCGTACCTGTTGTCGAACACTGCTCATTGTTCTCAGATCTTTTTATAATTTCCGGTGAAGAGTCGAATGAGTCTGTGCGTTTCCTGTTAACGGGCATGATGCTTGGCTTACTCTTCCCGTTTAGCGACGTAGAAATCACGTTCACAGTGACAGACTTTGTTGAGATCTACTTTGGGATTCAATTTCCAAGTGTAATGAGAATAAGTTCAAATAATAATCGTTAAATATCACTCGTGATCTGTTGTTATTATTATACGTTGTCCAGTTATAATAGTAATGAAGTACATGTATTTGTTTGCAAGGAGGGTGAAACGGACACTTACATTTTGTATATAATCTCGTATAAAATATTCAGTAGCAGCAAGAACTTACACTTTGCTCTTGCGAACGGGATGTATCGGATGATTCAAATCTGGCATGTGTGGCGGATTCTTTTCAAAATATTGAATTTCTTCCATACCTTTCTCAGCGATCTCCCATAATTCCGGATGCTTTTGCTTAAAGTTGGCGTACCATTTTTGTATCAGAGGCCATTCGTCTAATTTAAAATCAATTGCTTCTAGACACATGGTAGCGGTAATCAATGGAAAATCGGCTATGGTCAATGTATCTATTGAAATATACAATTCATTATACATCTATTCATGATGCACAGCCTGTTCAAATCTCTGTAATTACAGATACTTACTCCCCGCCGCATATTCAGAATTCTCACGTTTCAGATATGTCTCAAAAGCGTCTAAAGCCATTTTCAGTTTCTTCAATCCTAAGGGAGTTCTTTCATAATCGAAGAATATGGGAGCCATCTGTAACAAGATTTTGAAATATCATTAAAAATTTGATTTTGATCTGTACACGTATAAATACAACTCATATACGTACCACGTATTCAGAGATGTTGCGATAATACATGGCTAAATTAAAACACAAACGATGATTGACTATCGCGCGTGCCTTTGCATCTTTCGGGTACAGTTTCTCATCTTTGTCGTATTTGTCGCCAAGATATTGCAAAATAGCGTTGCTGGAATAATGAATTTATTTTTTATTTTCCTGGGCTATGTATTGCTCTAAGAACTTCTTGTAATTGTATCATTAGTGAAGATATTTATTTTCTGAGAAATTTATACCTTTCTCCCATTATTAAGTCACCGTCAACCAAAACAGGAATTTCTTTCTGTGGGTTTAACTGTGAAAGCATTGAATTAGTTTTATTAATGCTATAAATATTCTTTAGTTCCACAGGAAGCTACATGTTGCGTTCTAGTTAAAGATTTTTATTTATAATGGACATACTTTTTCGTATTCCTCAGTCATGTGTTCACCTTTACCGAAATCAACATCCACCAGTTCATATTCGACACCTAAAGCCTTTAATGCTTGGCGACATGATAGGGACGGTGGTCCATCGGAAACGGAGTAAAGCTTCATTGTTCAATCTAAAATAATAAATTCTACCTGTAGATCTTTGTAAATCAGCACGGCAATATTGAAGATCTATAGCACATTCTAATATAAAAATTAATATGATCAGAACTTTATATACCGCTTACCTGAAATGTGAGGATTTTAATATAGCCGGCAAGAAAAACCTGTATAGCGTTCGGAACGAGACTGTGACTGCACCACCTACCTATCGGATACATTATCCGAAGTTCCTTTCACTCTGTAATTCTTCAAGGTTCTTAATTGTGGCCTCGATTTCAATGCAAGATATCGTATCTGTGCACTTGCAAATATGCACTCTAGAGCTGAGATCCTCAGTATCTTATCAGTGAAGCATAATAATTAGCATAGGTAATGTTCAATTATTTTTAATATTTTTATCTTTCTAAAGAATTTTATAGCTTGTTGAATAGAAAAATCTGAAGTAATATACTAATGAATTTACTAATAGTAAATTTTATTGTGTAAGTTTCTATAATATAATAGCAGATAAAGATATTAAAAATTATAATTTCATTTTATGTTTAATTTTTGAAAGTAGTGAAGTAGAGATTGATTTAATTTGTATAAAAAGTGGGTGAGTAATTTAAAATTGATTTAAATTTAACATATTTCTTATTTGTACTGCTAGATGGCGAAGTATTCTGTTTCCAATTATTCGATTTTGTCCGTACGATCAAGTGGGAAATACTTTCTCGTTATGTCGTGTATTGAGGTTAGTTAAAACCACTGTACCACATGGGCGAAACGTGTATTGTTGAATTTTACTGTTGAACTTTCGTGAATTGTTTTATTTGTCCTCGTATAAAAATGTCTGTGCCTGAGAAAGTTTTAATGCGGAAGATTAGGAAAAGAGAGAAGAGGAAACTTCAAATATTGAAAGAACGAGAGAAGCAATTGGAAAATGGTAAACATAAATTTCTTCAATGATTGATTCCTTTATATAATTGTTTATTGAGGGATTTCAAGTGGTATCATATTTTCCTTTAATAGTGAATGAAACTACAATCGAGGATTCAGAACAAAACACTGAAGAAGATAAAGTGGAACTTTCAAATGGATTCAAACGACATTCCACAGATGATACTTCTGTGAAAAGTAAGTCAAAACAATGGTTTGTATAATGTATAATTTCTCTTCTTATCAGAGTTTTTACATTACCTTATATTCTTTCTTAATTCAGAGAAAAGAAAGAAAACTAAAGAGGATGCACAGGCTAGTACAGATAACGAAAATGAAAATAATACAGATGAAAATTCTGAATCAGAGAATAATGCAGATAAAGAAGTTGAGAATTGTAAGTACAATAAAACGAATTTGTGATTAAATAACATTATGTATTTTTGTGTAATTAATTTAATTACTTATTATTAGTGCCTGGATCAGCAATAGGTTTAGAAGTAATGAATGATACAAGTTTCAAAGTATTAGAAAAATTAGTATGTGAAAACACTTTGAAAGCCATTAATGATTTGGGTTTCACGAACATGACTGAAATACAGGCAAAATCGATACCTCCTTTGTTAGAAGGAAGAGATTTAGTTGGTTCTGCGAAAACAGGATCAGGAAAAACCTTAGCATTCTTAATACCAGCTATTGAGCTGATTTATAAACTCAAATTTATGCCCCGTAATGGTATGTAAATGATACATATGGATAAAACATTTTCAGTTGATTGTGTTACATTATAATTTATAGGCACAGGCTGTATTATTATATCTCCAACACGAGAATTGTCCATGCAAACATTTGGAGTATTGAAGGAGCTAATGCAATATCACTATCATACATATGGTTTATTAATGGGTGGAGCAAATAGGCAAGCTGAAGCTCAGAAACTTTCAAAAGGGATTAACATTGTTGTAGCTACACCTGGTAGATTGTTGGATCATCTGCAAAACACACCAGACTTTCTGTATAAAAATCTTCAATGTCTTATCATTGATGAAGCTGATCGTATTTTAGACATTGGGTTTGAAGAAGAGCTTAAACAAATTATTAATATTCTACCAAGTTAGTTGGTTATCCTAGAAATAAAATTAATTGCGTTTAATAACAATAGGGATCATAAAATTATTATATTTACAGAAAAAAGACAGACAATGTTGTTTAGTGCTACACAAACTAAAAAAACAGAAATGTTGACAACTTTAGCCTTGAAGAAGGAACCAGTTTATGTTGGTGTTGATGACGATAAGGAAAAGGCAACAGTGGAAGGTTTGGAACAGGGATATGTAGTTTGCCCTAGTGAAAAGAGATTTCTGCTTTTGTTTACTTTCCTGAAGAAAAATAGAAAGAAAAAAGTTATGGTTTTCTTCAGTTCTTGTATGTCGGTCAAATATCATCATGAACTTTTAAACTACATTGATTTACCAGTACTGAGTATACATGTAAATATGTGTTACATATCAGATACCATGTATGGTTAGTAGTCGTGTACTGTATAGTTTTGTCACAAATTCTTTAATTATGTAACAGGGAAAACAAAAACAAACGAAAAGAACAACAACGTTCTTTCAATTCTGCAACGCTTCGTCTGGTACACTTCTTTGTACTGATGTAGCCGCACGTGGTCTTGATATACCTGCTGTTGATTGGATTGTACAATATGATCCACCAGATGATCCTAAAGTAAATACTTCGATTTTAAATTTACAATGAAAATATATAGTTGTAAAGTTTTTCGATTATATGCAATGCTTTGTAAAATTCCACTTTAGGAATATATCCACCGAGTTGGTAGAACGGCTCGAGGCGAAGGCAGCAGTGGTCATGCCTTATTAATTTTGAGGCCAGAAGAACTTGGCTTCCTTCGTTACCTTAAACAAGCAAGGGTGCCCGTAAACGAATTTGATTTTTCATGGAATAAAATTGCTGATATTCAATTACAGGTAAGACCTCTGACCTGTAGGTAAACTAATTTATCAACTTTTCATAACAGGAATAAGATTAAAAATTTAGATATGGTTGTGCAATGGTTAATACATAATCACGATTTTTTATGCCCAATTCAGAAAAAAATATATAATTAATTCTGTTCTTTCAGCTTGAGAAGTTAATTTCGAAAAATTACTTTTTAAATATGTCAGCAAAGGAGGCATTTAAAGCATATGTAAGAGCATATGATTCTCATCATTTAAAACAAATTTTCGACATTGAAACTTTGGACTTGGCAAAGGTTGCAAAATCCTTTGGATTTCTGGTACCACCAGCCATAGATTTGAGTATCCTTTTTATGGTTATATACATCAACATTTTAACATTATGCTGCTTTTTACAGTTCATAAATTTGTTGTTTAGTTCTAATATATTTCGAGATATTCAATTCAGTTCCTCAAGATTGTCAACCTTGAGGAACTGTTTTCACCTCTTTAACAGTGGCCATTACCGATAAGAAAATATATTAAATATCTGTCAGTATTCTAATTTTGTAAAAAAATTCATAAATCACATCTGTAATTGCCACTGGTGATAACTTCGTCGTTAATTTTATGTCATAAGATTCAAGGACATGCAGATAAAATTTGCATGCAAAAACCCAGTTTTCCTTAACATCGTTCCGTTATAGAAGTGGGAATAAGCAAAAATTCACGACCACGAAAAAGATTAGGTGGGGGTGGTTATGGATATTTCAAAAATGCGAATAATCCAGGTTCAGACAAACAAGTGAAGCGCACCAAGACTTTCCGTCAAAAGAAATCATCTGACAGTCGACAATTTGCTAGATAATTGAAATTTCAACACGTTCAATAAAATGAAATTTTTTTTAACATTAAAATTGTACAGTATGTATACCCAAGAATAAATTTCCAACACATTCTATGGTTTTTATAATTTTGTAATTATTCCAATTACAAAAGTTAAGTACACGTAAGGAATGCATAAATGATCAAAAATATAAGATGACAAGTCAATATTTAACTTTCCATGGTGGCGACACCCAGTGACAAAAATATAGTACTATCGACAATAGCTTGAGCATTTTGCCGTAGATGGCGTTGCATGTATTTTAAATTTTATTTAATTTGTTAGAAAAATTGAATAGTGAAATTAAATTCTATTATCTCCGATAATAAGTTATTTACTCAGAAACCCTAAGAAACTTTTACAAAATAGTTTCCCCTATTTCTAATTTTATCTACATACAATATAGTCTTTAAAATTATAACAGCGAAACCATTGAAACACTTGCTACCAAAGTGCACAATACAAATAATGTTTCATATTAAAATTGGTCTCGATATATTCCAACGTCTTTAAATACTAATAAATTCTAAAATCGAAGACAATAACGCGGTATCATCTTCGATTTCTAACACTTCGTCGTGTAGAATACCGATTGCTCAGATCTCACCACGAATAGATTACTGCGAATAAAAATCGAAGAGAGATAAATGGTACACAGTTCCATCGACTTCTTAAAAACCAACTGATATCGCAATTACGAGGAGAGATTGAAACAGATTAAACAATGGATCCATATTCTATTTAAATAACGCAACGAACGTTTCGCTTATTGGGATCAATACGTACAGCCATTAAGAATATTTTTCGTATTCGTTACAAACAAGAGCGCCATAAATTGTCTATTAATTGGAAAAAACGTATCAAGATGACTACTTTATAGCACGCGACACCTACGTTACTTCTCTGTAGGACCATGTATGGCGCATGTTGTATGACGTCAACGCTATTTTACATTAACCAATATACGTGGGTAGGCGCGTTGGATATGGCGCGAACGTAAATGTTCGTGGGAGAATACTAAGGCGAGAACCTATAGAATTCGTCGCAGTCTTCGATCAATGCCTTTCCGAGTTACTATCAATAACATATGAAATTGATAATGTCCCGATACTGAATTTTAACGCGAACGGAACCAAAGATGGGCAACTTTGTTACCTCCAGAAACAGCCTCGAGTTACCTACGCTAGCGAACCGTTGAACGCTGCCTACCGATGGTACTGCACAAAATTTCTAACAGATCCTAGAAAAGTCCCAAGACTGGATTCCTAGATACAAGTTTAATCACGCAACACGGCGACGCGTACGACGCCGAAGACACTTAACAATACGCTTTTGTCTTTCGGCTACATCATTGTTGAATATAATGACCACCGTCCGACATAAGAATGTTTATTATTACCGTTCCTTAATTACTGTTCGTTAAATTTTCGTCATGTGCGCCGGAAGAAGTTATTTTCGACCCGACCCAATATGTTCGTGACCCGCGAACATATGGTTTTGTAACACCACATAGCCCAATTTTCAATCCGGTAACTTCTGTGTATGCGCACCGAGTCTTGTCCGATTTCTTCAAGGAGTTTTAGCTGGCGCAAAGTGAAATTTTCGGTGGATAGGATTCCATGAGATTTCGAGAGTCAGCAATGGAACCTTTCAGACACAATCGAACCATGACGAATCTACTGCATATAAATATGCAACAAATCTACATGTTAACCGGACTCAATCGTTGTCCTATACGCATTAACACTAGACTTACGGAACGAGACAATTCGATTCATATTGAATTTTATAAACATTATTTGCTAAACGTTTAAACCTCTACTTTCCGAAATCTAAACGAACGAATATCAATTTTTCTAGAAACAACAGAACAAACTGTACAATGAATGTCCGTAGATCCAGTGTTAAGAGAATTTGTATATGTCATATCGCAGGCAACAGGCTTTGAGATTGCAAGTTCCCTTGAATGAGGGATTATAAAATTGTTGTTGAAAAGACTGCACTTTCACTGTCATCGTTCAGTGGAAAAAAAAGGATCGAACGCGTATGCGTTCGATCGTTGTATACATTAACGTTTACTGCGTATCCTTCGGTACGTATTTCTAATTTGTAACACGATACCTCGTGTTGCAGGAAAATAAAAGTAGGTAAAATCATTAATTATGCATTCTACAGATTGCTACTTCCAGATCACAACGAAGTTAGTACTGCGTAGACCGGAGTAACAGGTGCAAGTCGCGTTCGTTTCGATCCAATAATTCATCAAATAATTAATCACTTCATAAGAAAGCATTAATTTCGGTTTAATCTACTGACCGGCTATTATTACTGTAATCGAAGTAATTGATCTAGGTGTATTACAATCATTCAGCAAGCACCGCTCGCGTTACAGGTGGACTTATAGTTATTTAATTATAGTCATTACATAAGACGTACGGTTAATAATACACGTTCACGAAAAATTTATGAATATCTGTTTTATAACTCATACTTATTTTGTACCAGAAGATTTTGTTATCTTCTTCTTTGGTACCCGATACAGTTACTCGATTGCACAATAATAATGCTGAAAATAAAATGGGGGAACGATGGCAAAAATGAAGGTATCTTAATTTCTCGTTAAACGAGGATATTCGTGCAACGAACGAATTAGAAATTTCCGTGGTGGCTTTCGGTAAAAATTCTCTTCGTCGTCCGTAAGAGATCTTAACGTGGTACTTCGCGCGTTCTCCAATGACTTCAGATAAGTGTTTCTAAAAATTAATTTCATGAACGCGTCGTCTATTTCTGCGGTTGATAAAATCGTGAGGAATCTCCCTACAAGCCATTGTTTCTGTTTATTTATAAACTGTCCGAGCATCGCGAAGAATCCTGACAGTGTATTTATTAATAAGCCCACGGCAGATTTCTCCAGGCCATTCAAATAGATAATAATCCGCGACTCATTAAAAATTCAAAAGCACGCCCACCGTCCCGGAGTAAATATAAATTATTACAATTACACGTGAACGCATTAGTCAAATTTATTACAAGGTGGCCGGTGTGTACAAGCAAAAGGCTAACAGAAACAGCGATCTATTAGTAGACTAACAGAAAGATTTATTAAGTTGCGAATTAGTTACGGTCAGACACATTTATTGCGTGTTCGTTTCATTACATTTTAAGCTTGACACGACTCGTACATAAATACAATTTATTTCGAATATTTTCACCGACCCGTACAACATTTCAAACGAGAATTACTTTTACAATCCCCGTTCGATTCCACGGCGTACACTCTGCCCGTTGCTATCCCCGGTTTTTTCGGTTAGCAAAATCTCCACGAAAAACGAGTTCCGTCGAGTTTAAAATAACGATTTAATGCGAGAAATTAAATATAGAAGTGATCGCGTGTCCCGTTAGCGAATCGAGTAATTTTATCGAACCTACAAAAATCGCGTGCTGCCCTTTCTTATGAATACAGTTCCACGAAATCGTGTGTTCTTAATAACCAGTCGAACCTACAAATAGTATTACACATCGATACACGATGAATCAAACATTAACTATACATCGATCGCATATAGGTTAACATTCGCGAATCTCGGTCATCGTAATCTCAATACCGAGAGACATCCGAATAAACCATGTATCGTTCGTGGAAACATATATATATATATACATATCTTGGGAAATGATTTTCCCAATCGATTCAGGGTAATACGTGTATGAAAAATTGGAAAAAACCGTAAGATGCAGGGCACGCCATCGGATGAACTCGTCCCTGAATTATCCAACTTGTATGCGACGATGGTATGGCGTGTACCTCAGTATTCGCGCGTACGCAGAGGCCGTATATGGTAGTGGGCGGTAGAAGCGCGCCGATAGAGGCACGCAAGAACTAATACGTGGGAGACGCATGCGCATAACGAATGCTGCGCATGCGTTCGACTCAGAAGCGTACGGGTAGCTTGTCGCGGCACATGCACGGGTGGTGCAGTAGAGCCGAGAATCCCGCAGCGCGTGTTTGTTTTTAATTTTCGCGATCTACAATCTAACTCTTTTTTAACAATAGAATCCGTCTCGTGAGAGAGGCTGTACCCTCTCTTTTTTTTCTCTCTCTCTTCTCTCTCTCTCTCTTCTCTCTCTTTC